CTCTTTACTCTTTAATTTCCCTTACGCTTCTATTTTATTGAGGTAGCAAACTAGTTTAAACTCAAAATCTCTTCCTAAAAAACAAAAACAACTGTTGGATACAACCCTCTCATAGCTTAACTGTAGATAAAACTCTGCATTCTCCGGTGAACTCTGTTCACTCCAAAAACAAAAACTCCCTTTTTCTGTATGTAATTTAAACCATGATCACTGAAATATTGTTGCTTATGTACTTTTGTCATTTATCAGCCTGAAATTCGTCAATTTCAAAGCTTTTGTAACAAAGGCCTCTTTAACACATTTCCCTTTTTATTGCTTTTATGTTTACACCATGGTTTCACTAACTATTCTGGCCGTAACTGCTATTTTGTCGAGGTAGCGACCTGTTTTGATCATTTAAACTGCCATTTTATCGAGGTGGCGGACCTGATGATCAATTACACTGCCATTTTATCGCGGTGGCGGACCTGAATCTTACCTAATCCGATCTATATAGATATACGACATTTGGTGGACCTCAAAACAGACCATAATTTAGTTCACTCAATTAGCAGACTTTGAATAAACAGGTGTCCGCTCTTACCTTTTGTCGAACAGGGCCCAGGCACCGTCAGAAGTCCACCAAATATCAGCTTTTCCACGTCCAACCGGGTCTCCAGATCATGAACCAGCGCTCACTAGTACCGGGAACTAGTTTCCATCGGCAGAGACCAATCGCACGTCAGAAATCCCCGGAATGTGGACATGGGAAAACAATTTTAAACGCTCAGTCCAAAAAACAGGACACAAAAAAAATATAGTGAGAGAGCGAAAAAGTCCCGGAGCCGGTCGCCTCTCCAGCCTGCTGGACCGCTCCCAGGCCCCAGACACTCTCAGCTCTCTCACGCCGAGAAAAAGAAACAAAGAAAACTCCCTCAAAACAATCCAGAGAATGGCGCACACTGAGCCGCGCATTCTCCACCAAATCTGTCAGGGATGAAGCAGACAGAGACGGATCGTGGTGCGCCAAACTCTGGAAGTTTATTTAAGTTTCTCTCAAGTTCCAATGGTTTACTTTGTTTCTTTCTCTCAGACAGAATAAAGGCAGTACACAGTTTATATAGTCATTGTTAAAGGCAGTACACAGTTTATATAGTCATTGTTAAAGGCAGTACACAGTTTATATAGTCATTGTTAAAGGCAGTACACAGTTTATATAGTCATTGTTAAAGGCAGTACACAGTTTATATAGTCATTGTTAAAGGCAGTACACAGTTTATATAGTCATTGTCACGTCACACATGGAAAGACGTGTCACAAAGAGACAGTCACATCAGAGTCATAACATGGAGTCCTTGTAGAGTCCTTGTACAGTCCTGCACGTAGGCCATATTGCTATCTAATACTAACACCTGGTCCCTGGTCTCTGGTCTCTGGTCTCTGGTCCCTGGTATCTGGTCTTGGTCTCTGGTCTCTGGTCTTGGTCTTGGTCCTGGTGTTGGTCCTGGTCTCTGATCCCTGGTCCCTGGTCTCTGGTCTCTGGTACTGGTCCCTGGTCTTGGTCTCTGGTCTTGGTCTCTGGTCTTGGTCTCTGGTCCTGGTCTCTGGTCCTGGTCTCTGGTCCTGGTCTCTGGTCTTGGTCTCTGGTCTTGGTCTCTGGTCTTGGTCTTGGTCTTGGTCTCTGGTCTCTGTCTTGGTCTTGGTCTTGGTCTTGGTCTTGGTCTTGGTCCTGGTCTCTGGTCCCTGGTCTCTGGTCCCTGGTCTCTGGTCCTGGTCTCTGGTCTTGGTCTCTGGTCTTGGTCTTGGTCTTGGTCTTGGTCTTGGTCTTGGTCTTGGTCCTGGTGTTGGTGTTGGTCTTGGCCTCTGGTCTCGGTTTCGGTCTCTGGTCTTGGTCTTGGTCTTGGTTTCTGGTCTCTGTTATCTGGTCTCGCTCTCGGTCTCTGGTCTCCTGGTCCTGGTCCTGATCCCTGGTCTCTGGTCTCTGGTCTCTGGTCTCTGGTCCTGGTGCTGGTCCTGGTCCTGGTCCTGGCCCTGGCCCTGGCCCTGGTCCTGGTCCTGGTCCTGGTCTTGGTCCTGGTCCTGGTCCTGGTCCTGGTCTAAAGTGCTGTGTGTGTTGCAGGTTGGATCCTGCTGGAGAACAGTGGATGGTTCCAGGTCTGAGGAAGTGTGAGTTTCTCATTCACTTTATATACAAGTTATTTATATAAAAGTATTATGTTTACTTTGATATAAATATATAAATATATAGTATTTATATCAAAGTAGACTTTGATATAAATATATAAATATATAGTATTTATATCAAAGTATACTTTGATATAAATATATAAATATATAGTATTTATATCAAAGTATACTTTGACTCTAAAGTGTGTGGTTAAAGCGTCTGGAGCTGATGTTTCTTCTTGTTTTGTGTTCCTCAGATTCCTGTGAGTTTTCTCTGGATCCAAACTCGGCTCACAGAATCCTCAAAGTGTCTGAGGATAAACGCACAGTGACCAGAGGGACAGAGGAGCAGCAGTGTCCAGGGCATCAGGACAGATTTACAGACCAGCCACAGGTCCTGAGCAGCACTGGCCTGAGGGGGCGCTGTTACTGGGAGGTGGACTGGACCAGGAGGAGGAGGGGGGAGATCATTGAGATCGCAGTGAGTCACAGAGGAATCAGACGCAGAGGGACGAGAGAGAGTGGGTTTGGAACCAATGATCAGTCCTGGAGTCTGAGCGTCCGTGGGGGACGTTACTCTGTATTTCACAACAACAGAGAAACATTAAATGTAGAAAATTCATTTTGTCTTCTTATGTTTATGACTTTTTAGGTTCTTCTAATAAGACAATTAAAGCAAAACAAAGCTAGTGCTGCTTAATTACCTGACATGTTTCGGCGGTACACTTCCGCCTTCATCAGAGGTGACACGTGATGGTGTGACGCGTCTCTTATCAGCTGTTGTTGCCGGAAGCAGTCAGTCTGACAGATCTCACAGATCCATCAGACTGACCGCGTCCCCCGCCGCGCTGTGGTCTCTGGAGAAGTGAGTCCCAAGTGTGAGCCATGGTGAAGGCCCCCCTCGTCTCTGTTGATGGTCCGTGTTCCCCGCTTCCTGATTTCGATCGCCTCTCGTATCCATCTTTTGTATTTATGTTCTTCTGTTCCTACTATTTTTGCATTGTCCCAGTCCATGATGTGATTCTCTCTTTTGCAGTGGTCTGATATTGCTGATTTCAGGTTTTCCTGTGTTGCCTTTTCCTTGGTTGCTCTTGTTAGTCGTGCTGCCGTTTCTTTTTCGCATTCCTTTTGATGTTCCTTTCTTCTGGTGCTGAAAGCTCTCCCCGTTTCCCCGATGTATGTTTTATTGCAGGTTCTACATGGTATTTCGTATATGACATTGCACTTTTTTTCCGGTTGTATTTTGTCTTTTGGGTGAACGAGGATCTGTCTGAGCTTCTTGTGAGGTTTGATTATTGCATTGATGTTGTGTTTTCCGAGTGCTCTCTGTATCTGCTCCGTGACCCCTTGTATGTATGGTATGGTGACTATGTCTTTGTGTTCATTGTGTTTTTGTGGTTGCTTTTTTCTCTGTTTTTGTGTGATCTGTTTGTTTAGTACCTGTTGTCTTCCTTTCTGTATTGCCCATCTGGGATATTGACAAACCTTGAGTGCTTGGATTATGTGTCCTTCTTCTTTTATCCTGTCTTCTTCCTCTGTGATGTTGTTGAGGCGTTCAAATAGTGTTCTGACAACGGATAGTTTGTGTGCAATGGGGTGTTCTGAAGTCCAGAGTAAATATTGATCAGTGTGTGTTGGTTTTCTATATACTGTAGTCTTGATGCTGCCGTCCTGTTGGTGGTGAATGTTTAAGTCCAGAAAAGGTATGCAGCCCTCCCTCTCCTCCTCATGTGTGAATTGTATGTGTCCTGTTGAGTCCATGGTGTTGAGATGGTCAGTGAGGTCCTGTGTGTGTCCTGTCTTTACTTTTTCTAAAATGTCGTCAACGTATCTTTTCCATAGGGTTGGTTTGTATTGTTGTGGTGCTGTATTGATGGCTCTCTCCTCTAAATCCTCCATGAAAAAGTTGCTCATTATTGCAGATAGTGGATCCCCCATGGCAAAACCCTCCTTCTGTCTGTATATTGTGTCCTTGTATTGGAAGTAAGTGGATTTGGCAATAAAAGTTAGAAGTTGTGTTATGTCTGTGGCTGTGAGGTTTGTGCGTTTTTTGAGTGTCCGGTCCTTCTTAAGTCTCTCTTGTACAATGTGAATAGTGACGTCAACGGGTGTCTTGGTGAATAATGATACAACGTCATGTGATATGAGTGCCTCGTCCTTTTCGATTGATATGTTTTTGAGTTCCTGAGCCAGTTCCTTTGAGTTTTTGCAGTGGTGGTTAGTGTTTCCAATGAGAGGTTTTATTATTTCAACTAGTGCTTTAGATAGGTTGTATGTGACTGATCCTGTGCTGTCTACTATGGGGCGGAGTGGTGTGTTTTCTTTGTGTATTTTTGGTGTGCCATACATACGTGGGGTGATATTGGCTGTGGGAATGAAATGGTTGTATGCTTGTGTGGTTATTTTTCCTGCGTCTGCTAGAGGTTTGAGTAATGACTTCAGTTTCCGTTTCTTTTCCTCTGTGGGGTTATTTTTTAATATTTCGTATGTGTTTATATCGCTTAGTAGTGAGTTCATTTTTTCCTCATAGTTGGGACTCACTTCTCCAGAGACCACAGCGCGGCGGGGGACGCGGTCAGTCTGATGGATCTGTGAGATCTGTCAGACTGACTGCTTCCGGCAACAACAGCTGATAAGAGACGCGTCACACCATCACGTGTCACCTCTGATGAAGGCGGAAGTGTACCGCCGAAACATGTCAGGTAATTAAGCAGCACTAGCTTTGTTTTGCTTTAATTGTCTTATTAGAAGAACCTAAAAAGTCAAACAGAGAAACATACTCCTCCCCCTCCTTCTCCTTCTCCATCTCCTTCGCCTTGTCCTCCCCCTCCTCCTCCTCCTCCTCCTCACATGTCTCAGGTCGAGTGTGTGTGTTCCTGGACTCTGAGGCTGGATCTCTGTCCTTCTATCATGTCTTCTCTGATGGAGAACTGTTCCACCTCCACACCGTCACCTCCTCCTTCTCTGAGCCTGTGTTTCCTGGGTTTGGACTTGGGTCTGAAGGTTCCTCTGTGTCTGTGGTGGATCTGAGGAGAGCGCCCCCTGCTGGACCTCAGTGACTCTTTAGCTTCTGTCCTGGGGTTCTCTTCTGACCAGAACATGCTCCTCTCTGTCTTTGCTAGATTTGCTAAATCCTGGTGTATGAAGTGAAGAGTCTTCTGAGGCTCCTTTAGTCCAGGTCTGTTATTGTGCATAAAGGACCAGGTGAAAGTCTGTGGTTTCAAACTGAACCATCTGAAAATATAAACATTGTTTTTCTTTTCTCTCATGGATTATACACACTGTAACTGCTTTTTGTATCATTCAAACAGAAAAGTATAAACATGTGCTTCTGGTTCTGGATGATTTCTGATGTCTATATTACAGGATTACACTGACTTTTCTTTGAGCCTAAATTCAGAATAAATCCTTTTCCAAATGTAGTTTCCAGTGTGGGCCTTTGTGTGCAGTACCTGAGTGCAGCAGCAGAGGGCGCTGTTCCCTTTCTCTCCACAGCAGCAGACCTGTGTACACATGTGGCCACAGAGGACTCCTCACAACCACTTTACAATATTCACAGACAAACACGTGCAGCTGTGTGAAAGGGAGGCGTGTTGTTTGGACCCGTGTCGCCTTTTCACCACAGGGAAAACAGGAACCAAAATAAATTAGTCACGTGACATTTAACAGATGTTTTACTGACTCCAGCTCAGATCTGTGGAGAGGAGAGACACATACAGTCTGAGTCCTGATCTGAGTCCTGGTTCAATCCTAGTCCTGTTCTGTCTTTATAAAGTTTGAGGTTGTGTCTGAAAATGGATAATAATGACACTAATTACCACAGTGAATGCATCCACTTAGAAGCAGGGCTAACCACAACAAATGAATGTGTAAACAGAGTGATCAGGTCCATGTTAGCTGCAGTTCTCTGTGCTCCCACTGGAGGGAGCTGCAAACAGACATGTGATTGTAAACAACATCAGACTTTAAAGACCAGGACCAGACCCGAACCTGGTCCCAAAGCTCTTCTCTGGCTTGTGGACCATGAGGCTCTCAGTGTGTTTGAACGCTGGTCCCCACTTGGTTCGATGCAGTGCCTCTTTCTGCGTTGATCCTCCTTTGGCTCCCATGCTGTTCTTGTTTACCAGCATTTTGCATGTCCTGACTTCATACATAAGACAGTTTTTAATACAGCTATATGTAGCAATAAGCTTGTTTATGAATTCATTAGAAAATAAATCAGGTGTAGCTCCTTTAACTACACATTGTGATTCTGAGCAGGGACAGACAAAGGGTAAAGACCTCTATCATACGGCCAGGATTCTGAACAGGGACAGACAGAAGCTAACGACCTCTATCAGACGGCCTGGAGGGGCAGTTATTGGAAGTCCTTGCCCCCTGCTGGGCCACCCCGCTGAAAGCACTTTTTGGACTTTTATGAAGAGTGCCAAAGAAAAGTGTGTAAGTTTTGAATGCGAGTGAATGCATCTTTGTGGAGCGCTGCGTCTCATTGGTTAAGCTGATGCAGCTGTCTCATGGGGCTCATCACTGACTCAGATCTTTGCATCTTCTTTGTCACTAACGGAGCCCGTGGGGAGTAGAGCCACAACATCTTTGCTTCAATGACATTTACTAAACATTCCTCTTGCTCTCCGGCTTCAGTTTCTTGATATTTGGATTGAACCAGAACAGATTATTTTACTATCGCATTCTCCGACAAACTACATCCACAAAATTTGGTGCAAACTCTTGACGTCACCGACACCGACCTACAACACCCGCCTCATAAAGAGCATGATAGAAATATCTGTATGATCTTCATAGTAAAACTACCACAACACATTTAAGAACAGTTCTGCTCAAAGTCGAGCGTAAAAACAGTAATGTTAAAGTGAGTAACGTAATAATAAGTAACTAAGTAAAGTTACAGGTTACTTTTTAAGAGAAGTAACGGGAATAGTACTCCCGGTTCTGCGCAGAGTTCCCATGATGCTTTGTGCCAAATATTAACAAGGACGCGTGTGTGGCTCTCATGTACATGCACAGAGGGCAGTGTTCTGACCAATCAGAGGGCAGCGTTCTGACCAATCAGAGCTGCTGATCAGAGCAGAGCTAGAGTGGGAGGAAAACAGCCGAGCTGTTGGAGAAAGTGTGGATTTATAGAAAACTGATGGATTTAACAGGAAAAAAAAGTTGAGGACTACAAGAGACACTAACATCCCACAGAATCATCCTTTATGACAACTGTAGGTTCTCTGTCAGGTTCTCTGTCAGGTTCTCTGTCCGCTGAGGTCCAGCTGTTTATTTCTGGGTAACCCACATGAATTTGATTTATTCAGTCTGCAGTACCGCGGAAAGCTCCTTCAGTTGTAAGCCAGTAACACCCTATTCAGATATTATTATAGATCCATGCTCTGAATACAGTCCATGAGCCAACATGGGCACAGTCTCCATCAGTGTGTTTGAGAACAGAGCACTCAAAAAGGTGGGGCGGGGGTGGAGCTAAACACAGCTGCAGATCTGTGATGATCAGTGACATGCAGTTAAATGAAGCACAGAAGCACGTGTTACTGTATCATATTTATTTGTATATTTCAGCAGACACATTCTTAAAGCTGTATTATAGAGTACAAACAGTCGCTGTCTTTAAATCATCTAAAAGCCTCAGAAAAGCTATTTACACAGTTCTCTCTGTACACGCTAATGTTAGCGACGGCGAGCTAATGTTAGCGACGGCGAGCTAATGTTAGCGACGGCAAGCTAATGTTAGCCACGGCGAGCTAATGTTACCGACGGCGAGCTAATGTTAGCCACGCCGAGCTAATGTTACCGACGGCGAGCTAATGTTAGCGATGGCGAGTTAATGTTTGGGCATCAGAGTCATATAATTACTGGGTCACATGATCACAAGGTCATATGATCACAGGATCACATGATCAAAGGGTCACATGATCACAGGGTCACATGATCACAGGGTCACACGGTCACATGATCACAGGGTCAAATGATCAAAGGGTCACATGATCACAGGGTCACATGATCACACGGTCACATGATCACAGGGTCACATGATCACAGGGTCACATGATCACAGGGTCACATGATCACAGGGTCATATGATCACAGTGTCACATGATCACAGGGTCACATGATCACAGGGTCATATGATCACAGTGTCACATGATCACAGGGTCACATGATCACAGTCTGCAGAGGTCTGTGGTCCAGAGGCGGTCTGAGAGGTTTTTAAAACACAGGCGTCAAACCCGCCAGAGAGCCAAATGAGGCCGGCCAGACCATTTTTGTGGCCTCTGAAGCTCTTTCATAACAGCAGAATGCATGGTGAGTTTATGTTTGTTTAAAACAAACATATAATCCTTTGACTTTGACCCAGTTTTGGTTCATTCCAAAGACACAGAAAGTGGATGTGTGTCGTTCAGGAAAAATTTATAAATGATAAATTTAGACATTTAGACAGGTGCAAAGATGAGCTTCGAACAATTTGACACTTTCGAGCTTTTATTTTAAGTGCGACCAACATTAGTTTGACAGCCCTGCTTTAACATCCAACGCAGAGCAGAACTCTTGAGAGACCATAGAGAGACCAGAGAGACCACAGAGACCACAGAGAGACCACTGAGAGACCACAGAGAGGCCCAGAGCGATAGATACTTCTGTGATTTCTGCTTAGAATAGAAACAGAATCTATGGCTTATTCTCAAAGCGGCAAATGCAGCAAAAACACACTAAATATTTGAGCCGAGCTTTTTACACACTATTCACTCACGGAGGAGAGAGGAGGACTGTGGAGGAGAGAAGAGAGAGAGAAAGGTGAGAGAGAGAGGGGTCCATCTAGCCATCCATTTTCTTCGCCTTAATCCATTTCTGGGTCGGGGGGGTGGCAATCAGAGCTGCACCCAGTTCACAGAGCACCAGCCCTTCACTGATCCTCCTGCAGGTGGTGAGTCCACAGGAGCTGAGATCTTTCAGTGGGGGCTTCAGGCAAAGTGGGGTTAAGTGTCTTTCCCAAGGACACAACGACTGCAGACATCAGTGGGAGTTGTGAAATAGGTCTTATGGTGGGCTCAAACCCACGACCTTCAGGCTCAAAGGTTAATGCTCTACCAACTGAGCCACTGTCGCCTTATGTGTCTTATTTAGAAAGGTAAATAAAATGAGGCGGCAAGGAAAGGGAGAAGGAGAGAAGGAAAGAGGAGAGAGAGGGGGAAGAAGGAGAAGGAAATAACATGGGTGAGACGAGAAAGGGAAAGGAGGACGGAAGGGTGAGGTCCAGGAAAACAAATGTATAAACATAGGGGTCGTGGAGACGAGGGACTGGACAGAGCGTGGAGCTAAACCTTTCAAAATCAACCAGTCTTAACATGAAGACTGTTGTGCTCCTGCTCGCTTGGAATGATAACACTGAGGACTGAGTTGAATACCCCTAATCTGTTTCCTCAGTAAGATGCGCTACGCTAGGTTAGCATGTGAAGGCTCTCTCTAGTCCCGTATATGGGCGCATGGGAACAGCAGTTAATGTCTTTAACCACATAACTCAGAATTCCTTTGACTCGGGATAAGAACCCACAGTGAATCTGGTCCACAGTGATCTCGACTTGAGGCAGAAGGTAAACGTTACTTTTCAGCTTCGTCAAAGAACTTCATTTTGTCGCTGTGCACTGAGTCTTTGAGGAGCTGGATGGAGGTGGCCGTCTGGTCGGAGATGGGCTCGGAGGCGGTCACCACTCGTGTGATCTGCTTCGTGATCACCACCTGCTGGCTGGAAGACTGCAGGTGCCTCTCCGTGAACGTGGTCTGACTGCTCTGGAACACCTGGGCCTGCTGGGACTCCGGAGTCGACTGGATGTTCGACAAGACGATGTGGATTTTGCCAGACTCCAGCTTCAGCGTGTCTTCTGAGGATGACGACAGAATAGTGACCTTCTCAGCTAAGTGGGGCTCAAATGAAACCATCTCAGTTTTAGTCGTGGATGTTACCAGGTTTGCTTCAGCCGTGTTCGGATCTGAATATTTGACAGTTACTTTGGTCGGAGACGACAGAGAAAAGCCAACATTTTCACTGGTCATTGTTGAGCTGATGTCTGCGAAGGCTTCAGACGACTGGATTGAACACGTCAGACTTAGCTCTTCATCAATCGGACTCTTTTTCTCTTCTTTTGTGGGCGACGATAATCCGAATGACGGGAATTTAAACCAGCTTGTTTTCTCTGGACTCATTGTTTCTGGCTTTGCTTCCTTTTTCACAGTCTCTGGTTCCAGTTTTTTGTCGGGTGACTCACTGTGTTCTTCAACCGGACTTGAAACGTCAAACTCAACATTGATATTCTTGAGAATTTCCCCGATGGACAACAAGGCCTTCTTTGGCGATTTAGTTTCATCCTTTGAATGAGTTTCCATTTCGTCAATTTTTGAAAAAGTGTTGTCGTCGGGTGAAGCTTTAGAGAAACTTAGCCTGGGCATTTTAAAAGACGGAAGCCTAAATTTACTCGGTGAGCTTTGCGCGTCGCTCTGTGGACTTTCGCCAAGCGGTGATGACTCTTGGGACTGATTCTTCTTGATTTCCAGACTTTCTGTGTCTGTCTTCACTTCCACAGATGGAATTTCTGCAGTAATGACGACTGATCCGCCTTCCTTTATAATTTTCAATGTCTCTGCCTCTTTGCTTGTGATGCTTGATTCTTCACTGACTGTAAGTCCTATTTTGGGCATTTTAAACAGAGGCATTTTGAACCTAGAGGGCGACCCTACAGTCTCTTTAGATTTAGAATCAACCTCTTCTGGGATTGGTTCTTTGGGTTCTTTGACTTTGACCTCACCCTCTGTCAGAGAAACCTCCAAAGCCACAGCGGTTTCAGGTGTCTCTTTAGCGGGCGTCTTGGAGAATGAAAATCTGGGGAGAGAGAACTTTGCCTTCATCTCAGGCTCAGCTGCGAGCGAGTCTTCTACAGCAGTGTCTTTATGTGGATCAGATGAAATGTCCACTTCTGATTCAAGACTCACAGTTGGTTTTGAAAATGAAAACTGTGGAAATGACCAAGAAGCTTTGTTTTGCTGTTCTTCTGGCACTGTGCTAGCAATCTTTCTGTCAGAGTCTGCTGTTGACAAACTCACATCGATCTCAGCTTCTTTCACTTTGGGCAGAGAAATCCCAAAACTGAACTTGGATCCACCCTGTTCCTTTTTCTCTTGCGTTTTAGCTGCAGTGTCCAGTTCAGGTCTCGGGCTCTTGTCTTCATCAGAAGGTTCTGTGCTCACTCCAATTTTAGGTAATTTTAAAGATGGCATCTTCAATTTGGTTGGTGAGTCTTCAACCTTCATTGAGGTATCAGAAATGTCTGCTTCTTTCTTAACATCAATTTCAGGCCCTTTGACTTTGGGCTTTGAAATACCAAACTTGGGCATCTTGAACTTTCCGCCTTGAGCTTCAACTTCAACCTCTGTCTTTTGATCCATGTCTGATTGTTTATCCACAGTTACTCCCACTTCTGCTTCTGATTCAAGACTGGGCTGTTTTGCAAATGAAATCTTGGGCAAAGAAAACCGTGGTTTCTTCAGTTTTATATCAATCTCAGAAGTTGCTTGACCTTCCACTTGTGTTTTACCATCCGGAGACTGAACCTCTCTTTTGGGCACAGGGACTGACGTTTCCATTTCAGTCAATGTCACACTTGGTTTTGAGAAGGATAATTTTGGCAAAGACCAGCTGCCTTTCGTCTCCTCTGATTTCTCACCATCTACATCTGTCTTTGAAAGTTCGACTTTTGTTCCACTGTCCACTTCTGGAACTTCTCCATCCACTTGCACTGTCGCTCCAAATGTGGGCAGTTTGAAGGTTGGCATCTTGAACTTGGACGGTGACCCTTTGGCATTACTGTCTTCCATTGCAGACACTTTGATGTCCATGTCTTTCAGCTCAACATCTGGAAGCTGCATGTCCTTCTGCTCCACTGACACATCTGGACCAGAGCTTGAGAACCCTAGACTGGGCATCTTAAATTTGCTCCTCTTTACCTCAGGCTCAGACATTTTTATTTCCACTGATGAACTCTCAGATTTCACTGTCAGAATCTCCTCTGGAATATCGGCTTTGATGTCTGCTCCAAACTTTGGTATTCTGAAACTGGGCATCTTCATCTTGGAAGGGGAACCGTCTGTAAGCTTGGATTCAACTTTGACCTCTGGGCTACTTATCTCTACATGTGATTCCGGTAGACTGACCTTGGTATCTTTTTCAGACAAACTGAGATCTACATCAGTTGGGGACATCTTTGGCATTGAGATTCCAAACTTGGGAAATTTAAAGGTACTTCCTTGTCCATCAACTTGAGCTTCAACTTTGGGTGCTGTCATATCTATTTCTGCTTCAGCCTTTCCCTCCACTGATGCATTTGCTTCTGGAACACTGATGTCTGTTTCTGGTGCTGGGACACTTTGTTTGGAGAAGGAAAACTGCGGCAGTGAGAACCTGGGCTTCTTGAATTTGACATCCATGTCCAGTCCTGTGGGCTGTTCAATCACCACTTCACCTGAAACTGCTTCAGTCTCTGGCAGATGGATGGTCATATTAACATCAGGTACATCAACATCTACTTGTGGCACAACTGACATATCTGGCCCATCCACCTCAGCCTCAGGTATGGCAACGCCAAACTTAGGAAATTTGAATGTGGGCATCTTCAGCTTTGACGGTGATCCTTCTTTTGTCTTTGTCTCCGCTTTAATCTCAGGAGCTTTTGTTTCTGCTTCTATTGAAGGCCCTTTCACTTCCACACCTGGGAGTTGTCCTTGGATCTTAGCCTCAGGAAGGGTCACCTCTGCCTCTGTCTTTGATAAGCTTAGGTCTATTTCAGGAGCTGAGATCTTTGGCATTGAAAGTCCAAACTTTGGCAGTTTGAATTTACCTCCTGATGTCTCTGTTTGGACATCTACTTCTGGACTCTTGATTTCCAGCTCTCCTTTCACCTCCACTTTTGCTTCTGTCTCTGGAACATCCACTTGTGGAATGCTGATATCAGCCTCTAGAGCTGGAACGCTCTGTTTGGAGAAGGAAAACCGAGGCATTGAGAATCTGGGCTTCTTAAACTTTGCCTCTATCTCCAAATCAGATGGATGTTCTACTTCCACCTCAACTGAAGGAGCTTTGACCTCAACCTCAGGTGGACTGATCTTTGTTTTGACTTGAGGCAGCTCCACATCAACCTGTCCAACATCAGCTCCATCTACCTTCACCTCAGCCTCAGGTATGGAGACTCCGAACTTAGGCAGTTTGAATGTGGGCATCTTCAGTTTTGATGGAGATCCTTCTTTAGACTTTGTCTCGACTTTGATTTCAGGAGCTTTTATTTCTGCTTCTATTAAAGGTCCTATCCCTTCCACACCTGGAACCGTACCCTCTAGCTTTACTTCTGGTAGAGTCACCTCTGCATCTGCCTTTGATAAACTCAGGTCTATTTCAGGAGCTGAGATCTTTGGCATTGAGAATCCAAACTTTGGAAATTTGAATTTACCTCCTGATGAGTCTGTCTGAACTTCGACTTCTGGAGATTTCACGTTCATGTCTCCTGTTATTTCCACTTTCATTTCTGTCTCTGGAACATTTATTTCAGGCCCAACATCTGTCTCTGGCATGTGCACACTTTGTTTTGAGAAGGAAAACCTGGGAAGAGAAAACCGTGGCTTCTTAAACTTAGCATCCATCTCCAAACCTGGTGGTTGTTCTATCACCACTTCACCTGAAGGAACCTTCACCTCAGCTGATGGGATGTGAACTTCTGCTTTAACATCAGGCAGATTAACATGAGGACCTGCTGAACAATCTGGTCCATCCACCTTCACCTCAGCCTCAGGTATGGAGACTCCGAACTTAGACAGTTTGAATGTGGGCATCTTCAGCTTTGACGGTGATCCTTCTTTTGTCTTTGTCTCCACTTGAATCTCAGGAGCTTTTATTTCTGCTTCTATTGAAGGCCCTTTCACTTCCACACCTGGGAGTTGTCCTTGGATCTTAGCCTCAGGAAGGGTCACCTCTGCCTCTGTCTTTGATAAGCTTAGGTCTATTTCAGGAGCTGAGATCTTTGGCATTGAAAGTCCAAACTTTGGCAGTTTGAATTTACCTCCTGATGTCTCTGTTTGGACATCTACTTCTGGACTCTTGATTTCCAGTTCTCCTTTCACCTCCACTTTTGCTTCTGTCTCTGGAACATCCACTTGTGGAATGCTGATATCAGCCTCTAGAGCTGGAACGCTCTGTTTGGAGAAGGAAAACCGAGGCATTGAGAATCTGGGCTTCTTAAACTTTGCCTCTATCTCCAAATCAGATGGATGTTCTACTTCCACCTCAACTGAAGGAGCTTTGACCTCAATCTCAGGTGGACTGATCTTTGTTTTGACTTGAGGCAGCTCCACATCAACCTGTCCAACATCAGCTCCATCTACCTTCACCTCAGCCTCAGGTATGGAGACTCCGAACTTAGGCAGTTTGAATGTGGGCATCTTCAGTTTTGATGGAGATCCTTCTTTAGACTTTGTCTCGACTTTGATTTCAGGAGCTTTTATTTCTGCTTCTAAAAAAGGTCCTTTCACTTCTACACCTGGGACCTTAGCCTCTAGCTTTCCTTCTGGTAGAGTCACCTCTCCATCTGTCTTTGATAAACTCAGGTCTATTTCAGGAGCTGAGATCTTTGGCATTGAGAATCCAAACTTTGGAAGTTTGAATTTACCTTCTGATGAGTCTGTCTGAACTTTGACTTCTGGAGATTTCACGTTTATGTCTCCTGTTATTTCCACTTTCATTTCGGTCTCTGGAACATTTATTTCAGACCCAACATCTGTCTCTGGCATCTGCACACTTTGTTTTGAGAAGGAAAACCTGGGCAGAGAAAACCGTGGCTTCTTAAACTTAGCATCTATCTCCAAACCTGGTGGTTGTTCTATCACCACTTCACCTGAAGGAACCTTCACCTCAGCTGATGGGATGGGAACTTTTGCTTTAACATCAGGCAGATCAACATGAGGACCTGCTGAACAATCTGGTCCATCCACCTTCACCTCAGCCTCAGGTATGGAGACTCCGAACTTAGGCAGTTTGAATGTGGGCATCTTCAGCTTTGACGGTGATCCTTCTTTTGTCTTTGTCTCCACTTGAATCTCAGGAGCTTTTATTTCTGCTTCTATTGAAGGCCCTTTCACTTCCACACCTGGGAGTTGTCCTTGGATCTTAGCCTCAGGAAGGGTCACCTCTGCCTCTGTCTTTGATAAGCTTAGGTCTATTTCAGGAGCTGAGATCTTTGGCATTGAAAGTCCAAACTTTGGCAGTTTGAATTTACCTCCTGATGTCTCTGTTTGGACATCTACTTCTGGACTCTTGATTTCCAGTTCTCCTTTCACCTCCACTTTTGCTTCTGTCTCTGGAACATCCACTTGTGGAATGCTGATATCAGCCTCTAGAGCTGGAACGCTCTGTTTGGAGAAGGAAAACCGAGGCATTGAGAATCTGGGCTTCTTAAACTTTGCCTCTATCTCCAAATCAGATGGATGTTCTACTTCCACCTCAACTGAAGGAGCTTTGACCTCAACCTCAGGTGGACTGATCTTTGTTTTGACTTGAGGCAGCTCCACATCAACCTGTCCAACATCAGCTTCATCTACCTTCACCTCAGCCTCAGGTATGGAGACTCCAAACTTAGGCAGTTTGAATGTGGGCATCTTCAGTTTTGATGGAGATCCTTCTTTAGACTTTGTCTCAACTTTGATTTCAGGAGCTTTTATTTCTGATTCTATTAAAGGTCCTTTCACTTCCACACCTGGAACTGTATCCTCTAGCTTTACTTCTGGTAGAGTCACCTCTGCATCTGTCTTTGATAAACTCAGGTCTATTTCAGGAGCTGAGATCTTTGGCATTGAGAATCCAAACTTTGGAAGTTTGAATTTACCTCCTGATGCGTCTGTCTGAACTTCGACTTCTGGAGATTTCACGTTCATGTCTCCTGTTATTTCCACTCTTCCTTCTTCTTGTGGAACGTTTACTTGTGAAACACTGATTTCAGCTTCTGGAACACTTTGTTTGGAGAAAGAAAACCGCGGCAGTGAGAACCTGGGCTTTTTGAACTTGACGTCGATGTCCAGTCCTGTTGGTTGTTCTATCACCACTTCACCTGAAGCAGTTTCAGTCTCTGGTAGAATCACTTCTGTGCTGACAGCTGGCAAATCCACATGAGGCACTGAAGCGCTTGGATCAGACCCCTCCATTTTCATCTCACATTCTTTTTCCTCAAATGAACCTCCAAACTTTGGTAATTTGAATGTTGGCATCTTGAATTTCAAAGGAGAGCCTCTTGTACTAACGTTGCCCTCTTTCCCGTCAGCCCTTCCTGAGACTTCCGCCTTAGCGTCTGGAACTGTCACATCCACATCCTTCTTTGTAACATTGAAATCCACCTCCGGTGCTTTCATCTTGGGCACAGAGATCCCCAAACTGGGCATTTTGAATCTGGTCGGTGAATCCTCTGTGACGGACACATCGATATCTGGAGCTTTAATTTTCATTTTACCGGAAGGTGGTTTCACCATGACACCAGCCACGTCAGGTGCTTCTACTTTCACTGCCCCTCTTCCTAAACTTGCTTCTACTTGTGGAACCTCAGGAAACTGTATTTCTGATTTCATTTCTGGAGATTTTACTTCTGTCTTTGGTAAACTGATATCAACATCCGGTCCTTTAAATTTTGGCATTTTGATTCCAAACTTTGGCTTCTTGAACTTGCCACTATCTCCTTCAATATCAACTTCCATTTCTGGACACTCCACTTCTACTGTGGCTTCTGGCACTTTCACTTCTCCCTTTTCAAGACTTAGATCAACATTTGGAACCTCGGGAAGCTGGATTTCTGCTTTAACTTCCGGCGATTTAATTTCTTTTGTTGTCAGACTAATATCAAAATCCGGCCCTTTCACTTTTGGCATTTTGATTCCAAACTTTGGCATCTTGAACTTGCCACCGTGTGCTTCTAAATCAACGTCCATTTGTAACGGTTTCACATCCACTTTTGGACACTCCACTCCTACTTTGGCATCTAGGATAATAACTTCTGTTTTTCCTAAACTTGCTTTGACTTGTGGAACCTCAGGGAGCTGGATTTCGGCTTTCATTTCTGGAGATTTTACTTCTTTCTTTGGGAACCTGATATCAACATCCGGCCCTTTCAAAGTTGGCATTTTGATTCCAAACTTTGGCATCTTGAACTTGCCACCGTGTCCTTCAATATCAACTTCCATTTCTGGAAACTCCACTTCTGGGACTTTCACCTCTAGCTTTTCAAGACTTACATCAACTTTTGAAACCGTGGGAATCTGGATTTCTGCTATAATTTCTGGTGATTTTATTTCTCTCTTTGGTAGACTAATATCAAAATCCGGCCCTTTCACTTTTGGCATCTTTATTCCAAACTCTGGCATTGTGAACTTGCCACCGTGTCCTTCTGTATCAACGTCTATTTGTAACGGTTTCACATCCACATTTGGACAGTCCGCTTCTAGCTTGGCATCTGGAAATTTAACTTCCACTTTTCCTAAACTTGCTTCAACTGTTGGAACTTCAGGAGGCTGGATTTCTGTTTTACTTGCAGGCGATTTCACTTCTGTCTTTGGTAAACTAAAATCAACATCTTTGACTTTCGGAACAGCGACCATAAATCTCGGTATCTTAAATTTTCCGCCTTTATCTTCGACTTCAGGTTTTTCAACATCCAACTTTGCTTCAAATGGTTTTATATCAACACTTGCTTTTCCCATTTCAGCCTCTGGGATGATAACTTTTCCAGCTGTGACATCGACTGTCGGTACCTTGACTGTGCTTATGTCTATTTCAGGCCCTTTTACTTTTGGCATGGATAATCCCAATTTTGGCATTTTAAACTTGCCTGATTTTGCATCTATTTCTCCTGTAGTGGCTTTTACAGACAAAGAAGCATCAACACCGTCAACATCCACTCTTATTTGATCATTTATTTCAGGTTGAGATTCTTTGTCTTCCGAGAGAGCAGCTTCCACATTCAGACCCAGTTCTGGCCCTTTCATTTTGGGCATTGCGATTCCCAGCTTTGGTAGTTTAAACTTGCCTCCTCGTCCATCTGCTTCTCCTTCTAGCTTCTTCTCAGGGCTTGAAATGCTGATCTTCGGTTCAGCGATTTCAAAACCCACTTCATGTGTTTTTGCTTTGGGCAGTTTCACACCGAGAGCTGGCTTTTTAAACTTTCCTCCTTCGACATTAGCATCCGTAGATGGAGATTTCACTTCTATCTTCAGTTCCGGGACTGAAACCTCGACGCCTTTATCATCAGCTGTGGGCACCTTTGCTTTGGAGTCCTTTGATAAGCTTAGGTCCAATTCTGGAGCGTTAATTTTAGGCATTTTAAGTCCAAGCTTTGGGAGTTTGAATTTTGCGTCATCACTTTTGATTTGGACGTCAACTTTTGGAACATCCACTTCCATCTTTGCTTCTGGTAGCATTATTTCGTCGTTCTTCTTCGTCAAACTCACTGCAGGACTTTTCAGCTTGATCCCAAACTTTTCTGTGTTGGTTGGTTCTAATTTTGACTCGTCCACTTCCAGCTTCATAGAAGATCCACTGACCTCTGATTTTACTTTGGGCAGAGAGATCCCAACACTTGGCATTTTGAAGCTCCCGTCTTGTTTTTCAGTTGTTTTTATCTGTTCCATACCAACACTTTTTACATCAATGTCTCCTGGCAGAAATATAGTTCTCTCCAATTGTATCTTATCCTCCTTTTTCTTGGTCAAATCCAATTTAAAATCAGGGATCTTATTGTCTGATATTTGAATACTCACGTCTGGCAGATCAATCTTGGGTGTCTTTATCTTCATGTCTTTGGAAGTTTCTGCAGTAACGCTTGAAATGTTGAAGTTTTCCTTTTGCACCTTTTCAACCTCAATTGTTTGCGAAATTATGGCTTTGGTGGAGATCAGGTCTTTGGAGTCCAGTTCAAGTTTCTTAATCCCCACTTTAGTCTCGGATATTTCACTTCTGACTTCGGCCTTGACCTGTGGGAGTTTGTAAGTGGTTTTAGCACTTTCTGTGAAGACAGACATTGTCTCCGGTTTGCCTTTCGTTGGCGTTTTTACTGATATTCTTTGAGCATTGGCATCTATCACTGTGATCTCTTCAGGGATGGGGGCTCCAGACATGTCCACCTTCGGGAGTTTATACCCAGGCAGCTTGGAGACCGCCTCCTTTACACTGTCCACATCGATGGACATCAGCACCGTCTCTGCTTGCTGCTCTACCTCAGGGACACTCGCCAATGGGGCTTTTGGTTCCTTGAAATCTCTCGTCTTTGAAACATCCTCCATTCCAGGGATTTCTATATCTTCACGTTTTGGAAGCTCCGTGCCTTTGTCTAGCCGGTCATACGCATAATTTTTGTCCTTTGCCTTACTTATATTTGTGTCTATTTTGATGATTTCTTCAGTCGTGACGTCACTAAGAGCCACTTTTGGCAGTTTAAACCCGGCCTTCCCTTGCTTCTCCTCGGAGCCTTTTCCTTTCTTGTCATTGGACTTGCATATAATCCCAACATCTGAAATATCAATCTCAACTTTGGGCAGACGCAGTTCCATCTGACTCGATTTACTGGACGTCATTTTGGGAACCTCTGAATCCATTACATTCTCTGGTTTGGAAACGGCCTCCGATTTCTCATTTTCTTTATCGTCGCCTTTCTCCAAACTCGCTCCGAGAGTCTTCAACCTTTTCGGCGACGACTTAGCTTTCTGCTTTTTGTCTTTTCCCAGAAATTTCAGCTTTAACTCGGAGCGCTCTTTCTTCTTTTTCTTCCCATCGGGCGACACGGCGGCCTTCAAAGGACATTCCTGCTCCAGTGCTGCTGTGATATCTGCAGTTTTCACCGTACTGTCCACACAAACCAGCTCTGTCTTATAAACTCCAGTTTCGCTTACATCGACTTTCTCCTGATGGCCTTTGTTCTGCTTGTCTGATGAGTCTTGCGTTTCTCTTTTTGGGCTTTGCACAGGTGAAATCATGTCGTCTGTGTGAAGGTTTTGTGCGTCAGTGTCCTCTGATGAACTGATGCGGCCTCTCTTCATCCCCAGCAGTTTGATCTTATGTTTCTTCTTGCCCTTGAGAGCGTCCTGAGTCTTGATGGGAGATTCGGTGTCGCTCGTGGTCGGACTCAGCTCCAGTTTTCGTTGCTCGTCTGCCTCTGATGAGCTGTGTGATCTGGTAAAGCGAGACTTCTTGCCTCTGCCCAACGACGGAAACTTGGGCCACGAGATGCGGGCGTCGCCTCGCCGCTTCTTCCCAGATTCTCTCATCTCCGGTTGGTGCAGTTCGTCTTCCTGTGGACAGAAATGTAACATGAGTACTCCACTACATTCACTACATGTTATCTCTACCATTGTCCATCTGTATACCGTCTGTGTTAGCATTGTCTATCTGTATACAGTCTGTGTTAGCATTGTCCATCTGTTTACAGTCTGTGTTAGCATTGTCCATCTGTATACAGTCTGTGTTAGCATTGTCCATCTGTATACAGTCTGTGTTAGCATTGTCCATCTGTATACGGTCTGTGTTAGCATTGTCCATCTGTATACAGTCTGTGTTAGCATTGTCCATCTGTATACAGTCTGTGTTAGCATTGTCCATCTGTATACAGTCTGTGTTAGCCATAGGGTAGGGTAGTTACCATAGACTGTATATATTAACGGACGTAGACACGCCTATCTCCGCCGTTCTAACTATCCATCCATCCATCTATTTTCTTTCGCTTCATCTGTTGCTGGGTCGCAGGGGCAGCAGTCTAAGCAGAGACCCCCAGACTTCCCTATCCACACACACTTCCTCCAGCTCGTCCGGGGGGACCCCAAGGTGTTCCCAGGCCAGCTGAGAGACATAGTCCCTCCAGCGTGTCCTGGGTCTACCCCGGGGTCTCCTCCCGGTGGGAACACCTCCCCAGGGAGGCGTCCAGGAGGCATCCGGAACAGATGCCCGAGCCACCTCAACTGGTTCCTCTCGACGTGGAGTAGCAGCGGCTCTACTCCGAGCTCCTCCCGTGTGACTGAGCTCCTCACCCTATCTCTAAGGGAGCGCTCAGCCACTCTGCGGAGGAAGCTCATTTCGACCGCTTGTATCCGCGATCTCGTTCTTCCGGTCATTACCCAAAGCTCATGACTATAGGTGAGGGAGAGAACGAAGATTGACCAGTAAATCGAGAGCTTTGCCTTTCGGCTCAGCTCCCTCTTTACCACGACGGTCCGATACAGCGACCGCATCACTGCGCACGCTGCACCGATCCATCCTTCCCTCACTCGTGAACAAGACCCCGAGATACTTGAACTCCTCCACTTGAGGAAGGACCTCTCCACCCACCTGCAGAGGGCAAGGCACCTTTTTCCGGTCGAGCACCATGGCCTCAGATTTGGAGGTGCTGATTCTCATCCCAGCCGCTTCACGCTCGGCTGCAAACCGTCCCAGTGCATGTTGCAGGTCCTGGTTCGTTGGAGCCAACAGGACAACATCATCCGCAAACAGCAGAGATGAAATCCTCTGGTCCCCGAACCGGACCCCCTCCGGCCCCTGGCTGCGCCTTGAAATTCTGTTCATGAATACAATGAACAGAACCGGTGACAAAGGGCAGCCCTGGCGGAGGCCAACATGCACCGAGAACAGGTCTGACTTACAGGTCTGAATTACTGCCGGCAATGCAAACACAGCTCTGGCTCCGGTCATACAGGGGCCGAACGGCCCTCAGCAGAGGACCCCGGACCCCATACTCCCGGAGGACCCCTCAAAGGCCCCCCCGGGGAACACGGTCGAACGCCTTCTCCAAATCCACAAAGCACATGTGGACAGGTTGGGTGAACTCCCATGAACCTTCGAGTATCCAATGGAGAGTATAGAGCTGGTCCAGTGTTCCACGTCCCGAGAGCCAGATGTTGGGTGTGCGGACTGGGTCGCCGAGGTCTCCGCCTTTGAATGCTGCCCAGTCCTCTCTGCACCGAGCCACCACCCTCTGTGGGTGGTGAGCCCACAGGAGGGACTGCCCACGTTATCCCTTCGGGCGGAGCCCGGCCGGGCCCCGTGGGGTAAGGCCCGGCCACCAGGTGCTTGCTTTCGGCCCCCGACCCCAGGCTTGGCTCCAGGGTGGGGCCCCGGCTGCGCCATGCCGGGCAACGTCATTGTTTTTGTTCTAGTGCTGTCCATGGTTGGCTTCGGACTGCTCTTCGTCTGACTCGTCACCTGTCTGCCATGGCAGACCCTACCAGGGGCATGAAGCCCCAGACAGCATAGCTCCCAGGATCATCCGAGTACTCAAACTCCCCCACCACGTTACGGTGGCAGTCCAGGGGGGGACTAACTAATGGGCCAAAAATTGGGCTTTCATGGAGGGATTCAAAATGGCAGCGGGGGCTGGGAAATGTGAAAAACGCATCTGTGCATGCCTCAGCTGCACGAGCCCCATTCATTTAAACGAGTGACTTCTAAAGTCCACAGCGACTAAACTAGACTGGTCCAGAACACTCCCCTCAGCATTGACACACATGTGGAACGGAGCTTTGGACCAAGAGCCAACTTTTGGACCATCCTGTAAAGACGTTTTCAAGAGGAAAGAAAATGCTATGTTAGCATTGGCTAATTCTTATTCCGGGTCCACTCCCACAGGCCCGGGGTGGTATTGCAAGAATGTCAGTGCACGTCATTTTGGCCACTTTTGAGCCGGGACCCGCCCCCACTGGTAGTAAAACAGTGGTGGTGTGCTACTCACAAGGATGGCCTCTGCGGTGGCAGCCCCCTCCGTCTCAGTCTCTGGTTTGCGTTTCAAGCACAGTTTAACTTTGTAGCTCTGCGCCTGCTCCAGGATCTGGACGGCATCTTCATACGGGATGTCGTCAAAGTACACAGTAGCACTGAGCACCTGGTCTCCTGCACACACACACACACACACACACACACACACACACACACACACACACACACACACACACACACACACACACACACACACACACAGACACACACACAGACACACACACACACACACACACATAGAACTTTAGACCAGAAGAAAGACAGGTCTTAGTTAAATCAAAGTGATCTCAGATAAAACAGATACATCAGTAAGGCTTCTTTATTTATATAACGCCTTTTTCATCAAATCAAAGATGGAGCATCAGCAGCATCAGGAGTATAAGCAGCATCAGCAGCATCAGAAGCATCAGCAGCATCAGGAGCATCAGGAGCATCAAGAGCATCAGGAGCATCAGGAGCATCAGCAGCCTCAGCAGCATCAGCAGCATCAGAAGCATCAGAAGCATCAGCAGCATCAGGAGCATCAGGAGCATCAGGAGCATCAGCAGCATCAGCAGCATCAGCAGCATCAGCAGCACCAGCAGCATCGGGAGCATCAGGAGCATCAGCAGCATCAGCAGCATCAGGAACATCAGGAGCATCAGCAGCATCAGGAGCATCAGCAGCATCAGGAGCATCAGCAGCATCAGCAGCATCAGGAGCATCAGGAACATCAGGAACATCAGCAGCATCAGGAGCATCAGCAGCATCAGGAACATCAGCAGCATAAGGAGCATCAGCAGCATCAGGAGCATCAGGAGCATCAGGAGCATCAGCAGCATCAGGAGCATCAGGAGCATCAGCAGCATCAGCAGCATCAGCAGCATCAGCAGCATCAGCAGCATCAGGAGCATCAGGAACATCAGGAGCATCAGCAGCATCAGGAGCATCAGCAGCATCAGCAGCATCAGCAGCATCAGGAGCATCAGGAACATCAGGAACATCAGCAGCATCAGGAGCATCAGAACATCAGCAGCATCAGGAGGATCAGCAGCATCAGGAACATCAGGAGCATCAGCAGCATCAGCAGCATCAGGAGCATCAGCAGCATCAGCAGCATCAGGAGCATCAGGAACATCAGCAGCATCAGGAGCATCAGCAGCATCAGCAGCATCAGAAGCATCAGGAACATCAGGAGCATCAGCAGCATCAGGAGCATCAGCAGCATCAGGAACATCAAGAACATCAGCAGCATCAGGAGCATCAGCAGCATCAGCAGCATCAGGAACATCAGGAGCATCAGCAGCATCAGGAGCATCAGGAGCATCAGCAGCATCAGGAGCATCAGCAGCAGCAGCAGCATCAGCAGCATCAGGAACATCAGGAACATCAGCAGCATCAGCAGCATCAGGAACATCAGGAACATCAGCAGCATCAGCAGCATCAGGAGCATCAGCAGCATCAGGAGCATCAGCAGCATCAGGAGCATCAGGAGCATCAGCAGCATCAGGAGCATCAGCAGCAGCAGCAGCAGCAGCATCAGCAGCATCAGGAACATCAGGAACATCAGCAGCATCAGCAGCATCAGGAACATCAGGAGCATCAGCAGCATCAGGAGCATCAGGAGCATCAGGAGCATCAGGAGCATCAGCAGCAGCAGCAGCAGCATCAGCAGCATCAGGAACATCAGGAACATCAGGAACATCAGCAGCATCAGCAGCATCAGGAACATCAGGAACATCAGCAGCATCAGCAGCATCAGGAGCATCAGCAGCATCAGGAGCATCAACACCTTTTCTCTCTGACCGGAACCAAGACCAAGACCTCCAGCTTAAGTCACCTCCAGAGAAAAACCAGCTCCCCAGCTTTAAAGTCACATACCCCAGCTTTAAAGTCACGTCCCCAGCTTTAAACTCACATACCCCAGCTTTAAAGTCACATACCCCAGCTTTAAAGTCACGTCCCCAGCTTTAAACTCACATACCCCAGCTTTAAAGTCACAGATCCCAGCTTTAAAGTCACGTACCCCAGCTTTATAGTCACGTACCTCAGCTTTAAAGTCACGTAAGTCAGCTTTAAAGTCACAGATCCCAGCTTTAAAGTCACGTACCCCAGCTTTATAGTCACGTACCTCAGCTTTAAAGTCACGTAAGTCAGCTTTAAAGTCATATACCTCAGCTTTAAAGTCACATACCCAGCTTTAAAGTCACGTCCCCCAGCTTCAAAGTCTGTCTATTGAAGATTCGGAAGACGTATATATCTTTGGCATTTTGGTGGTGGGGATCCTCCTGTTTGGGTTTGGAGTGGTTCTCTTCTATCGCAAATTCGGAGGCATGGCAGTTCGCAAGATTCATGACCTGCTGGCCGACAAAATTGATGGGATGTACAAGGAGCTTAGCCGAGTCGTGGTTGAGAGTGCCGTGTCTGGACAAAGGAGAGTGGTTTTGGTGGAACAGTTGATAAAAGACCTCGCAGCTCGTTCACTCGAAGGGAATAAAACTCTGGAGTTGAGATTGAATGACATCGTTTGTCAGGCTTGAACTCTCTGACCCGGCTTGGATTTGCCCCTGTGTACGGAGGTCTGAGGGCGCCGCAATTCGGATTAATTGGATTTAATAGAATATCTGCCTGCTTTTGACTGCTACATAGCATACAATATTGTCCCTCTGAGGCGATGTGTTTTTCTCCTGCTGTGTCTTCTCTCCACTCTTATCTCACATTCCTCGGCCAAGGCCATAATAACAAGGTCCCCATCTACAACAATCTCACACTATTTCAGTCCAGCTCGGATCCCCTCCCCCCGCCTCCCTCTACCTATCCATCTTGCTCCACACCTCCCCTCCACTCCTCATTGTGTTTCCGACTCACCCCCTCCCTGACCCCGCCCCCCTCTGACAGCCACATTCGGCAGTCGGAGGTGCTCATCCCGAGAAAAAAATCCGTGGTTTATACAAAGCACAATGGGCCTCATTCACGAACGGTTCTTAGGAACAGATTTGTACGTAAATCCTACTTACGCGGTTTTTACGAAGAAAGTGGCATTCACGAATATTTCTCGTAACCAGAATTTCTCTTGGGCAAGGAGGTCCTTGCCCAAGGTCCTCAGGAGCACTCGTACACATTCAGTGCCGACATGTTCACACGCCGGGGTTGTCCTCTTTGGTGAAGTTGAATAAAAATACAACATTCCAGTGATATGTCCGTCATATCGATGTATGTATTTATTTATTTGTAGTAATCTTTATTAGTAATCTTTATTTATATACCGCCTTTTTCACTGCAGATCTGGCCTACTTTTTAATTCATTTTGAAATGAAATGTGCCAACGCTTTATCAAATACATTGGAAATCTTGCCGTGTATTAGTGACCCCTTCCTATTTATAGGGGGCATTTCTTTATCCACGGGTCACAGAACAACGGCATATATACTGCTGCTGCAGGAGGTTACTGGGTCCGCGCTGAGTCTCTGCGCTGGTCTCTCCTATGGATCTATACGGGTCTGCGCTGGTGTCTCCCATATACGGGTCTGCACTGGTCTCTCCCATGGATCTATACGGGTCTGCACTGGCCTCTCCCATATACGGGTCTGCACTAGTCTCTCCCATGGATCTATACTGGTCTGCACTGGTCTCTCCATACGGATCCGCGCTGGTCTCTCAAGTCTGGTCTATGCGGTCTCTCTTCGGTCCGCGCTGGTCTCTGCGCACCGGTCTCTCCAGTCAGGTCACTACAGTCTATGCGGTCTCTCCAGTCAGGTGTCTACAGTCTATGCGGTCTCTCCTATAGGTCCGCGCTGGTTTCTGTGTGCTGGTCACTCCAGTCTCTCCTCGGGTCTGCATTGGTCTCAGCGCTGGTCCGCGCTGGATCTCCTCCCAGGGTCCAAAATATTTTGAGATTAATCTCAAAACATTTTGAGATTCATCTTTAAAATAATACATAATATATTTTTAAATTAAGCTCATAACATTTTGAGATTAATCTCATCATATTCTTAGATTAATCTCATAATTTTGCTAGTTCGACTTTATTATCATAATATTTCGACTTTTTTTCTCAGTCTGGTAAAAGAAGAAAAAAGGGTGACTTTTGCTCCGTGTAAAGGCCTGTTGCTGTTTCCTCTGCCGTCTGCACACGGCCCTGCAGTCCCTTATATGGGCATTAGTGGGCGGTTACTTATGCTAAGTACCTATGCTAATGAAGCACCTGGCACGCGCGCTCTACTTACGAGGAAATGGGATTCATCAATCTGAGAGAACAGCTGCGAACAATTCAGCGGCTTACGAGTGCGTTGATGAATCCCACGTGGGGACTTCTTAGAAATCTACTTAAGGACAACTTGAGAAGAAAGTTGAGTAGTTTCTTACGAAGTTATTCGTGAATGAGGCCCAATGTGTCTATCCAACTGTCTGTGAAACTGTGTGTTATTGCTCTCTGCTGTTTATTCTACTGTTTGTCGCATGGCGCCGTAAAGATGGCGCCGTGGCAAGAGCTCTGGTGTGTGTCGTCTTCTCTGTCTGGTGCACACCGGGGTAGTCTTGCACAGTTTTTCCAATGTGGTTTTACTGCAAATGGCAAATAAATGAATCTGAATCTGAATCTGAATCTGAAGTTACGTCCCCCAGCTTTAAAGTCACGTCCCCCAGCTTTAAAGTCACATACCCCGGCTTTAAAGTCACAGACCCCAGCTTTAAAGTCACATACCCCAGCTTTAAAGTCACGTACCTCAGCTTTAAAGTCACGTCCCCCGGCTTTAAAGTCACAGACCCCAGCTTTAAAGTGACAGACCCCAGCTTTAAAGTCACATACCCCAGCTTTAAAGTCACGTACCTCAGCTTTAAAGTCACGTACCCCAGCTTTAAAGTCACGTACCTCAGCTTTAAAGTCACGTACCCCAGCTTTAAAGTCATATACCTCAGCTTTAAAGTCACATACCCCAGCTTTAAAGTTACATACCCCTGCTTTAAAGTTACATACCCCAGCTTTAAAGTCACGTACCCCAGCTTTAAAGTTACGTCCCCCAGCTTTAAAGTCACGTACCCCAGCTTTAAAGTTACATAACCCTGCTTTAAAGTGGTAACTTCCGGGTTTTTCGCGATCGCTTTTTGTCACTTTAAAACAGTATTTTTGTCATGAAAACGTTGACAGCAAATTCTGAAATCGTCCGTGCATGTGTGTTAAAGATGTACATGTATACTGTATTGTCCGATCAACGTTTAATGGTGTTGATTGATAGATATGTATTTGTTTATTGAGCGTGGCTAGCTCCGCTAGCTTCTCTACACAGACAAGTGTGCAGAAAAACTGCACAGTGTAGTGACAGGCGCTGAAGGCTTGTTGTACTTGCAAAGTAATGGCAGTATTTTACACACCTGAATTACAAACAGAGATTGCATTGGGGCTGCGGTCATTATTGGTTTGAGAGTTCTGTTTTCAAGAAAAAATGATCGGAAGAATTGCATTCAAGTAAATGGAGTGTTCTACTGCTGTGAAGAGCTGTATAATAAATTAGAATTAAATATTAGAATTTATTATACGGCTCCTCACAGCAGCAGTAGAACGCTCCATTGAGTTGAATGTAATTTCAAAACGTTCTACCGGTCATTATTTTCTATAACGGACCTCTCAAAACAATAATGACCGCTGCCCTTTGGCAACGCACTCTCTGCTTGTCTTTCAAATGCGTGGATAACTCCGCAAGTAGTTCCGGCCACTCCGGAGCTAGCTACGCTCAATAAACGCAAATACCAATCAATCAACACACTTAAATGTTAATCGGAGAATACTTATACATATACATTCTTCACACACGTGCACGGAGATTTTCAGAATTTACTGCTCTTGTCGTCATGACAAAAATACCATGTATCTGCGTCAAAAAGCGATCGTGAAAAACCCGGAAATAGTTCCAGCCACTCCGGAGCTAACCACGCTCATTAAATGCAAATGCCAATCAATCAACGCCATTAAATGTTAATCGGAGAATACATTATACAAATACATTCTTCACACACGTGCACGGAAGTTTTCAGAATTTTTCGTTCACGTTTTCATGACAAAAACACTGATGTAATGCGAGAAAAGGCGATCCCGAAAAACCCGGAAGTAGATACCGGCACATTTTAAGAGACCGGCACATTTTAGGAACATTTGCAGAGGATGGAATTATGGATTTAGGTTAAGTTTATGTTTGGGTCACTCACCGCTGATGTTCAGGATTCTGTGTTCAGTTTTCATGCAGTTCCAGAGAGTTCTAGTTTGGAAGTTGCTAGCCTAACTGTTGCTAGCATAGCCACGGGAAAGCCTTTGGGAACTACTTTATTTTCTTTCTTATTTTAAATAAACCTTTGGGCATTCCTAAAAGTGGACTGAAGTTTATGTTGTGTGTTCTGTTGGTATAAAGCCGTATAATAAGCGGGATAATGTATATTACACAGGTCATTCTCGGAAAATAAGTACCGACAGGGCGAAGCGGACTGCTTCCGCCCTGATACATTATATGTTATCCCTTACATATTCTAGTGTTTAAATTAATACATTCGGACGCGAAACTAATGGTATTCTTTTACTTATATATTGTGTTAGCAGTGCATTGCTTTAGTGCCATTTAATCAGTGATTGTTGCACAGCTTACAAGTTGCGCTAATGCTAATGTTAGCATACGTCTCAGATCGAAAATAAAACTAGGTGGCTCTGTGTTATGAGAGCGCAGGGGAAATGAGAAGCCTGTGAGCGAGTTGGGGGGCGGTGCTAAACATTCAAACATTGCAGAAACGGGTATAGTGCCTTTAAAGTCACATACCCCAGCTTTAAAGTTCTGTACCCAGCTTTAAAGTCACATACCTCAGCTTTAAAGTCACGTTACCCAAGCTTTAAAGTTACATACCCCAGCTTTAAAGTCACGTTACCCAAGCTTTAAAGTTACATACCCCAGCTTTAAAGTAACGTACCTCAGCTTTAAAGTCACGTACCTCAGTTTTAAAGTCCTGTACCCCAGCTTTAAAGTCACGTACCCCAGCTTTAAAGTCACGTCCCCCAGCTTTAAAGTCAGATAACCTAGCTTTAAAGTCCTGTACCCAGCTTTAAAGTCACATACCCCAGCTTTAATGTCACATACCCCAAGCTTTAAAGTCACATAGCCCAGCTTTAAAGTCACGTTCCTCAGCTTTAAAGTCCTGTACCCCAGCTTTAAAGTCATGTGTCCCAGCTTTAAAGTCACATACCCAAGCTTTAAAGTCACATACCCCAGCTTTAAAGTCACATACCCCAGCTTTAAAGTTACATACCCCAGCTTTCAAGTCACATACACCAGCTTTCAAGTCACATACACCAGCTTTAAAGTCACATACACCAGCTTTAAAGTCACTTACTTTTACTCCCTGAAGGATGGGAGTGGTTGCACGCGCGGTCTGTGCTCTCAGTTGACTCACACGAACAAGTGGATAAACTCATGATTATGGACTTTTTTGATGGATTTATGTGTGAATATTGACACTTGTATATACCACAGAACTGTTTGGAACCTGGAAGCTGAAAAGGGAAGGCTCGTATCTGCGCGAGCGGAGCGGTGCCCAAAGTTTTAGCATACCAGCTAGCTAAAGCTAACAACTTATCGAGTCTGCCGAGTCTGCCACACGCAACAAGAGATGGCAAGAGGAAAAAAAGCCGCAACGGAGGACATGGAGGAGCTGAGGAGGTCAATAGACTCACTCACGGAGGCTGTGGCTGCTATACAAAAGCAAACAAAAACTGATGAAGATGTCGGAGACATTCGTAAAACACTCATTACTCTGACGGAGGAGACCACAGTGATCAAGGAGCAGCAAAACCGGATTATACAGCTGATGGAGGAGGTGAAACAGCTGAGAATTTTAAACACCGAAAAAGACAAGAAGATTGCAGACCTGGAAAGAAGAATTGATGACTTGGAACAGTACTCGAGGGTGAATGATGTTGTCATCACAGGTCTGAAAATCAAACCCAGGTCATACGCGAGGGCAGTGGCGGCCAGCGGCGGGTCAGAGGCAGAGGAGCAGGAGGCTGACTCCGCTGAACAACAGGTCGCAGCGTTCCTCCAGTCCAGGGGCATCTCTCTGGATTTGGAAGGCATAGAGGCTTGTCACCCTCTCCCTCGAAGAAGGGATAACGCGATGCCAGTGGTGATCATGCGGTTTGTCAACCGAAAGAAAAAAGTTGAGCTGCTGAAGCAAGGAAGGAAGCTGAAAGGATCAAATGTTTTTATGAACGATCACTTGACGCGGAGGAATGCTGAAATCGCACGAAGAGCCAGATTCATGAGAAAACAAAACAAAATCCAACACACATGGGTCCGGAACTGTAAAATCTACATCAAGCTAAACGGGTCACCAGAGGAAGCCAGAGTTATTGTGGTCAAGAGTCTGGAAGATCTGGATAAGTTTGATTGATGCGACATCAAGGTAACAACCACTCATTCTTATGATTCACAACAACAAAACCACAACTGAACATCAGCAGTTAAGAGACAGAGTCCTGGACAATGTGTTGGGATTAAATACATTTGATCCAACAGAGCATGGGGACTATGACCCAGAGAAAGACATGGATCCAGACAGCACTTTTTTTTCTAATGTAAATGTGAATTGTAAATATTATTCTGATGATGATTATAACTCTATGGACACATTGAATGACTTATCGATTATACATTTCAACAGTAGGAGCATGTACAAAAACTTTAGTAGCATCAAGGAATATCTTGATACATTTAGAGTGCCTTTTAGTATCATAACACTATCAGAAACATGGATGAACAATGAAAAAGGGACAGATTTTTACTTTGAAGGCTATGAACTCAATTATAGAAATAGGAAAAACAAAACAGGAGGAGGTGTGGCTATTTATGTAAACAAGAACTTAAAATTTAAAATTGTTGAAAATATGTCTGTTGCAGTTGATGGGCTATTTGAATGTATTACTATTGAGCTAATTTGCAGAAGGAGAAAAAACATAGTAGTAAGCTGCCTATATAGAACACCAGGTTCAAGTATAGAACATTTTATGGGGCACATAGAAAAAATATTTTTGGACACAAATAAATCAATGTATATTACAGGAGATTTCAACATAGATCTTATGAATCCCAATGGACATAAAAACACGGATGAATTTATTAACCTTATGTATAGTATGAGCTTATTTCCTGCAATCACCAGGCCGAGTAGAATCACTTCACAGAGTGCTACTCTCATTGATAATATCTTCACAAATGATATTGATTTATTGAAATTAAGTGGACTAATGATCTGTGATATAACTGACCATCTACCTGTTTTTACTATATGTCTCCATAAGAATACGAAGAGCACAAACACTCAGAATGATGTTTACAAAAGAGTGCTATCTGAAAATAGTATTGAAGAATTGAAATGTGACTTGTCAAGTCAAAACTGGAGTGGTGTACTAAATGAAAGGAATGTTGATGAAGCTTATAACATGTTTCTTGATATATTTTGTAACCTTTATGATAAAAATTGCCCTGTGAGAAGATACAAGAGAAAGAACAAAACTGTCAAATGTCCCTGGATGACCCGGGGATTACAAAATGCTTGTAAAAAAAAAAATAACTTGTATAAACAGTTCTTGAAAGCAAAAACCATGGAAGCTGAAAATAAATATAAGGTATATAAAAATAGGTTGACTACAATACTAAGAGCGAGTAGGAAACTGTATTTTGAAAAGTTATTAAATCAAAAAAAAACAACATCAAAGGAATATGGAATGTGATTAATGGCTTACTTAAAGATGAGGCCAATATCACAGATAACTACCCAGAGTATTTTATTGATGGTAATGACAAGATTTACAATAGGCAAAATGTGGTAAACAAATTTAATGAGTTTTTTGTAAAGGTGGGACCAGACTTAGCCGCTGGAATCCCTGAAAATGAAGGAGACCCATCACTAATTGAAAGAAATCAAAAAAGTATCTTTCTCTCAGGTGTAAATGAAACTGAAATCAAAGACATTGTTTGTAAGTGTAAAAATAAGTGCTCCACTGACTGTTTCGATATTGACATGAGATTAATTAAAAAAGTCATAGATTGCATAACAAAACCATTAACTTATATTTGTAACATTTCACTGCAAAATGGGTTATTTCCAAACAAAATGAAAACAGCTAAGGTAATTCCAATTTTTAAGTCTGGTAACAAGCACATCTTTACTAACTATAGACCTGTCTCTCTCCTTCCACAGTTTTCAAAGATCCTTGAGAAAGTTTTCAATGATAGACTTGAAAATTTCATTGAAAAACACTGCCTGATAAATGACGGACAATATGGGTTTAGACCGGGAAGATCGACCTCTATGGCCATTATTGATGCTGTAGGAAATTTCACGTTCATTGGATAAGAAAAAAATAGCCGTTGGAGTTTTTATTGACTTGAAAAAAGCGTTTGATACGATTAATCATACAATCTTACTTGAAAAACTAGAGAAATATGGGATCCGAGGGGTAGCAGGGGAGTGGATTAAAAGTTATTTAACTGAGAGACAGCAGTTTGTAAAGATGGGTAAGTACCAATCTACATGCAAAACTATCACATGTGGACTGCCAAAAGGTTCCATATTGGGGCCGAAATTATTCAATTTGTATATCAATGACATCTTCAATTTATCTGTACTACTGAAACTGATTTTATTTGCTGACGACACTAACATTTTCTATGCATGAGATGATTGTTATGATGACGCTATAAACACTATTAATGAGGAATTGGCAAAAATTAAAACATGGATGAATAATAATAAGCTATCACTTAACCTTGAAAAAACGAAAGTAATTATATTTGGTAACTGCAAGGAAAACCCAAATATATCCATAACTATTGATGGTAAAGTAATACAAAAGGTAACAGAAATCAAATTTTTGGGAATAATAATCGACAAAAACTTAAACTGGAGATCTCACATTAATTACATACAAAAGAAAGTATCGAAAAATATAGCTATTATAAATAAAGCAAAGTGGGTACTCAACTATAACGCCTTGTACATCCTATACTTTAGTTTAGTTTATCCTTATTTATCATATGTTGTAGAAGTTTGGGGAAACAATTATAAAACTGCCATAAGAACATTGGAATTACTTCAAAAGCGAGCAGTACGAGTTATCCACAAGACGAGTTACCTGGAACACACACATTCACTCTTCTTACAGTCTAAATTATTGAAATTTGTGGATTTGGTGGATTTTTGCACAGCTCAATTGCTTTACAAAGCCAGTAAAAAATCTCTGCCGACCAACATTCAATCTCAATTTATAGAAAGAGAAGATGGCCGTAATCTCAGGGGAAATGGTAAACTTATACCAAATGCTGTAAGAACCACGAGGAGAAGTATGTGTGTCTCAGTGTGCGGTGTGCGACTGTGGAATAAATTGGATTGGAAGTTAAAACAATGTCCCACCATATACCATTTTAAAGTCAAATATAAAGAAACACTTTTACAACAGTACAGTACACAGTGAAAATCCTTACTATAGTCATATAGTAGCAACACCATCATACATAATTTACTCACAATAACAGTATTACGGAGCTAAGGGTTGCAGTGTATGTTGATTCTTTACTAAATCATGTAGTATTTGTATTTTATTAAGTGTCAAAATCTGCAAAACACAATCTTGAGTCTGTACATGAACAGAGTATAAGTTATTGAATTAAAAGCTACGCATGAGTTATTAGAATTATTGATGTATATAATAAAGGTTAAGCTACTACACAAACAACATAAGCAACCACCAAACATTTATGCACTGGGGGTGGGATTTAAAAAGTATTTACTTCTTCCCACTCCCTTTCGAACTTTCTTGTTGTCATTTTTTTTTTTATTGTATCTTGTATTAGTTTTGTTTTTTGCAATTTTGTATTGTTTTTTGCAATTTTGTATTGCTTCTCATATTTTGTATTTATTATTGTTTTGTTTTTTTCCTTGTTTTTTCGAATGAGAATAGAAGTACAGAGTGTACAAAGTTTATTTTTTTATGCATTATGAA